GTGAAAATTGTCAAAGTGATTGAGCATGTTATGACGCAGGACTGTTAAGGCGTACTACGAATAAATCAACGGAATATAAACGTGCATAAATACATACCATTTTAAACTGAATTAATTTTTGTAAAGGTACTATATTATTACATGACTTTAATTTTAACGAGGTTCGCTTCTGAGCTTTTGAGCAGATTTTTATCTTAACCTATATTTAAAAAATTCTCCATAATGTTTTAATTCTTACAATAAATTTGGATTCTACAATGCCAATTTAACTATATTCAGTTAAAACTCCATGATTGAATTCCATACCAAAAGCATTAAGTGAGGAAGTATATTTTGTGGCGGAAGGTTTTTTAGAAGAAAATGAACATTTTTTCTCTTTCGGAGTATCTAAAGTATGTTAAGTTTGGATTCCTATTTTTACATGCAGTCTGCACACATAGTTATTTTTTTGCAGTGGACTGTTTTATACTGGTCCTAAATTATCTATTAAATAAACTGTCATGAATTCTATCATCATATTTGATATATATAGCAAATAAATTGTGAAAATGAAGAAAAAAATAGCCCTAATTTAAGCTTAAAATTAGCACTATTTTAGTAATATCTAAAAATTAACATCACAGACCCCCACTTTTAATTTTCTTTTCTGAATATATACGATACTTTTTACCATTCTTCTTAAATTCAGTAAAATCTCATTACTTTCAAATGATTTTTTTGCTTGTTAAATTTTTAATGCCAGAAAAATGAAAATGTTTGAGTGCAAAAAGGTCAAATAATTGAACATGCGGAGTAATTTGAAAATTTCTTCGTTGTCACAAATTTTAATGTGTCTATTTAAGATAAAATAAGACTGTTTTTGTTCCCATAATTTATTTGAACAAAAAATATTGAAAGAAAAACTTAAAAATTGATTTATGTGTAAGATGTATTTTCAGTGCAAAAAGGTCAAACTAAATGCTCTGTAGCGCAAAAAGAAGCGCATTGACCCCCATTTTTTGTTTTGATTTTTAATAAAGCTATGTGTATAAATTCTAAAAATATACTTGATAAAAAATTCTCATTACTTTTGATGACACGATCCAACCTCCTTAATTGAAAGAACATTGTATACCCCGCTCGGTACGGAATTTGGTTTGGTCACGTTATTTGACAGTCACGTGATAGATGCATGTAATGTGTACTGCATGTAGGTCATAAACAAATTTCAATATCGCAAGGGCATACCCTAGTTAGAATTAAAAATTTCAGTAATAAATTGTATCTACATAACTTGTAGTTTATGAAAAGTGCTGCTGCTTTAAATAGAATTCGCATTTTATTAGTTTAAATTTCAAGTTATTTGGCTATAGTCGAAATATGTGTGACCTTTGCCATGTATTTTATTTATTTATTTAGTAATGCTCTCGATTTCAGGAAAGCAGCAGCACTTTTCAAGTTAAGGAATGTTTCCGTTATGCATATTCAAAAAATGGTCAAGATCTATTAAGTGTATGCCCTTGCGAAAAGGCGATTTAATGCGGCACCTCGGAGTGAAACATGCACCGCTGTACATAAAAACACGGTAGAATTAATTTAATACATTCTCTTCATAGTTTTTAAATAATGGCATAAAACAAAGATTTCAGATTTGTAATAATGGTTTACCTAAGATTTGCAAATAATACTCTGTTTAATAATAAAATGCGTTTTTCACTGTGGAAAAATAACTTAATCCGCCTCTCACTGCACATAAAATGCGTCAAAGTTTACCATGATGACGTCATGTCGACAAGTGCATTGCGATCAGTGACTTGTTTATATCTTGCTGTGTGGGATTTAACTAGCGACAAAAATGAATGCAGTGGTAAGTTTTGATGTAGTTCATCACTCTTATGCAGTTTAAAAACACAAATTATTTCATTTTCTGTTGTTTTGAGGAATTGCTATATTTGTGTGATGTCACAGTAGACATTTCCCGTATAAATTAGGCCCCGCCCACTTTATGCAGCCTTAACAGAGCTGCGGAGGGATGTAGATGAGGAGGTCTGCATTTAATGACTTCATTTACACAATGTTTGTTTATGTGTTAAAGATTTCAAGACAATTGCAGAAATTTTACAACTTGTTTAAAATTTATATCGTATTTCATAAGGTGATGACAATAGAAGACAGTAACAACCAAGGACCCATCCAGGAAGTGGATGAAGAACCTGATGTACCTGCATTGGTATATTATTAAATATTTCTTTTCATAAGCTCTGTCGAATTGCTGTAAATATTAAATATTTTTAAAAATAATTTTATTTACACTAGAATGAAGAAGAAAGAGAAGTTGAACATGGAAGAAGGCTCTTCACCCAAAAGGAGGGAGAGGTCATTAAGGCACTGTGCAAGAGTCTAATTGACAGTAAGAAGCATTTTTTCTGTTTGAATTACTACAATTTCCTTGTCCAAAGTCTCTAAAAAACTTTGATTGGAAAAGACAATATCAATTATAATTCCTTTTCTTTTCTTCGTATGTAGACTACTCTGTACAAATTGCAAGTCGTGCCTGCCTTGACATCCTCAGTACCACCCCAGAGGGTGAAGCAATAGTGGAAAGAATTCAGAAAATACATCCTACTGACTACAAGAAAAGGATTGGGGATAGGGTGAGAACAGAGAGGAGAAATCTTAAGAAGTAAGTAGATATTTCATTGTATTGGTTACTTTTTTCTTTTCACTTTTAGTCTTCTTTAAATGCGTCTAACCTTAATAAAAACTCAGCATAAAATGCATATTCTTTTTATTTATTTCAGATAGTGGAAGTGGCAGAAGAGTTGGATTTTCTTATAATATATTGAAGAAATTTATTAGAAATTTTTACTCATTTCTTAGAAATTTTTACTCATTACCAAGTTAAACAACCCTAACCTAATATATTGAAGAAATGTATTAAAAAATTTTACTCATTCTTTCAAATGTCTTTATTTGTTAAGCAAAAAAATGTATAGTTTTGTCAAAAAGGATATCTACAAATACAGCAAACATTATAGAAGAGAAGGACTACATTAACATTATCTAAGAAATTAGAACAACAGAGGAGCTGTCACAATTATAAGTATAAACACTGTTCATAAAATTTTTAAGTTACAAGTAACACTTTCTAACCCTGTGGTTGTCAGAATTTAAAAAATATATTAATAGCCTAAAAATGAATTATGTTGCCTACCTTTTTCACGTCTTTTGTCTTTCAACTGTCTGCATAACTATGGGCTTACCCTATCCAAAGTCAGCGCGTGCTCAAGGTGTTGACCTAAGCATTTCACACCTATTGGGGATGGCATCCTATAAACAAAGCCAGCAAATGCTCTATAATGACGTAAGATTTTAACATCTTCAGAGTACCACGCTATACACAGCGTAAGCTTTATGAGATGAATAAATTAAAAAGAAAGAAAAATAGCCAAATAGGGCATATATATCATAGCCTTGGGGTTAGAAAGTGTAAAATGTAACTTCATCATTTTATTGAATTTTATGTGCTATCTAAATTGAAAAAAAAGGTAAAATATGTGAGAACTTAACAAAGTAAATCATATTTTTAAATGTTCGCAATACTTGGATAGTCAAAAAATGATGTCGCAACCTCACAAGAATAACTTTAGTGATTTCGACATGTCGCGACACCTGATTTGTCCTTATTTCTGTTGATTACGCATAGAAGTTGAATATTTTTATTTATACCTATACGGTTAACTTAGACAAAGACGAAACAAACTTTATTTTATTTTATTTACATGTATTCTTAAAAGAATAAAGTGGAAATGAATTGTCTTAAATCTGGGGTTAGAAACTGTAAAATGTAACTTAATTAATAAGTGAACCTTATGCACTGTTATAGTTGCAACAAAGTGGAATATGTCTTAAATTAACTAAATATACATTGATTCTAACTGTCCGCAACACTCGGTTAGTCGAAAAATTCAGTCGCGACTAAACAAGGGCCACATAAGTGATTACGAGGTGTCGCGACTCCTGATTGGTCCCTTTTTTTCGATTACGTATAAACCTTAAGTTTTTTGCTTTATATTTGTACGGTTAACTTAGACGAAGAAAAAACAAGCATAATCTTACTTTAATTCCCCGTATTGTTAATGAATTCAAGAAAAATGTATTTTTGATGGGACTTGGAAAATTTCCCCTAAAATGCTTCTTCCATCTGAGCAGAGGTCATATAAAAGAAAACAGAGAGATTCTGGCATTTTATTCTGATTATTTATCTTAAATAAAAATAATTTCTTCTACAATATCCAATTAAAGGCGATTAATAAAAAAAAATAGGGCCCAAAGAGGGAAATTCAAAAAAGATTGTTACATTTTACACTTTTGTCTTGTAACCATATTCAATAAATAACCCTTAAAAGTCAAATACAAAAGGCTAAAGTTTGTGTTTGTAACCATGACAATGTCCTCTACACAAGGTTATGAAGTACCTCTATTTTTAATGCTAACCCCAAACCAGGACCATTTCCTCTTTATATGATATAAAAAATTAAGTTACATTTTACACTTTTTAACCACATTTATATGACCCAATTTTTGGAAAAATAAGATAAAATTATGTCAGTTTTGTAGCATTTTATTAGTACTTTTAGGGGCTGAAAAGCATTTTTCTCTATCTCTTAAAAACATGCCCGGGGTTAGGTTCCAAAAAATGTCAAAAGGTGTAAAATGTAACTTAATAAAAATTTTCGTGAAAAAAGTTAGGGTAAGGGATAATTTTCAAAAAACGAGTTTTTCACCCATTTTAAGTTAGATAAGCCCAAGAGAGAGCAATTATCTACAACATTTCCAAAAATCACAAAATTCCGCCGGTTTTTAAGCACTTTAGAGAAGTCGACCACTTATTTTTTTCAAATCCTGAACAATATTGATGTCATGTTATGCTCGTCTATGCTGTGTTCGATATTTCCAATTTTATCCGTACGCTACTGTTACCATATGTAAACTTATCCGGATATTAAGTTTTGAGAAAATTTAGGTAATTATGGCTTCGCGCCGCATGTTTCTGTAGATCTATTTACACGGCTTGGATGTCCACAAACTGTAAGTTTTTTATTGTTGCATTGTATAATCAATTCAGGTATTGTAAACTCTAAAATGTGCTTTGAGTATTTCATTTCTTGACATTTATTTAAAGGTAATAAGAGTTGTTTATTTGCTGCAAGAGGTCAGCTTATTCTAAAACATGCATTGGTACACATGATATATTTTCCAAGATGTTTCGATAATTACAATAGCACCTACTATTTTGTCTCTAATATTTTATGGAAATTACTTCTTCTATTTGTGCTTCCTAGTGTATGTGAATTTACATTTTTCACCTTTGTACTTAAGTCCTGTCCAAAATTTTCATTTTTTGGCATAACCTAAAACGTGAATTATGCTTTTTGTGTCAATTGTATATTTTTAATGAACCTTACAAGACTGTGCTTGTTCTTTACACATTGTATTTTACTTTGTAGTTTCTTACCCTCTCCGAGGAGGCAATAAAACATCCTAACATAAAGGCAGCTTAGGCTTGTTACTGCACAGTAAGAAAAGTTTGATTCTACACACCCACTCGCCATGAATAGTCTACCAGACAGACAACTACGGAGGACAAGAACACTCACTCAGGAAGCCCTCATGTTATTTGAAGAAAAAGTTGACCACTATAACAACAGGCTTAGAAGTGTGAGAAGAGACATTGATTCAGTTATCTTAGAATTTGAAGATGCCAAACCAACTGATAAGAACATTGTTCGAGCAATGAGAGCAGATCTTATTCAGTTTATGCAACAGTATAACAATGTGTCGAAAGAGTATGAATCATACCTGAAAGGAACTAGAACTCTAGCCAGTATAAGGGAAGAAACCTCACACAGATTGGTTGCCTCAACTGTACGCGCCAAAGTGGATCACGTGCAGAAGGAGATGGAAAAAGTGCTAGCAGACAGCAAACCACCGTTTGGTAGCTACAGACAACACTTAGCAGACAAACAGTCATCCATCGCCAGTTCAAGATGCAGTCCTCGACCACAGAGCAAGAGCCAATCTGGTTCGGACCTGACTACATTTATACAGCGGCAAGCCGCCAAGGCGGACCAGCAAGCAGCAAAACTAGAACTTCAATTTGCGGAAGAGGAGGCTCAGCTGTTAAAGAGACAAGTGGCCTTGGAGGCTGAACGCAAGGTCTTGGATAGTCGGAAAGCGGTGGCACTCGCACAGTCAACCTTTGCGGCGTTTGACGAAATACTAGGCGAGAATAAGGACAAAGAGACTGAGTATGAAGATCCCATGGAGAGGACGAGGGAATATATACAGAACTTGACAAACAGTCCAGATGATCGAGATGATGTGTCGTCAGTGTTACACTTCAGTGAGGCCCGAGATTTGAAACACTCAACGCCACAGAAGAGTCAGGGTGTACTGTCAACCCTCAACCCCCAGGCACCATCATTCTCTCCCCTTGCTTTCGATCATCTCGCAAAGTATATAGCCAAGAGGGATCTAATATCTGCTAGATTTACAATGTATGATGACAATCCTACACATTATATAGCTTGGAAGGCTACCTTCCAAAATATAGTGACCGAGGTTGGGGCAACACCTTTAGAACATCTCGATTTGCTCGTTAGATGGCTCGGACCAGATTCCAAGAAGCAAGTACAGAGTATCCGTTCAGCAAACGTTCAGGATCCAGAGAAAGCACTACAACTAGCTTGGGAACGCTTAGACCGTAGATTCGGAAGTCCTGAGATTATCGAAGACACGATTCAACGCAGGATCAAGGACTTTCCAAACTTATTGAACCACCAGAGGAAGGAATTCTTTGACCTCGCAGACCTTACCAGTGAGATAGAGGGAGTTAAGAACAATGATAAGAACTCTATTACCTTTGCATATTTTGACTCTTCTTATGGTGTGAATAAACTTGTAGCCAAATTACCATTCAATCTACAGGAGAAATGGACTCACAAAGCAAGTGAATACAAACTACACCACGATGGCCAGTATCCGCCGTTCACTTTTCTTCTTTCATACAAAATGTCGCAAAGATGAAAAACGATCCAGGATTTGTTTATGATTCTGAAAACAGAAGTCAAAATCAAAGGAATGTTGGACAGCCTGCGATCCCTAGAAGCAACCCTCCTGCAAGAAATGTGTCGACTAAAAAGACTGAAGTGGCCGTTGACCAAACTTCTATGACAATCTGTCCACTGCATGGTAAAAACCACTCATTAAACCAGTGCAGAGCATTCCGCCTGAAACCTCTAGAAGAAAGGATAAAATTCATTCGAGACAAACACATATGTTTAAAATGTGCGGATAAACGACACCTGGCAAAAAATTGCAAGTCAAATGCACCATGTGGCATATGCAAATCTAATGTACACCCCACGGCGCTTCACCTTGACCAAGACGATAAGGAAGTGACAGCCGCCTGCACACAAGTCTGTGGAACAACTCGTCCTACGAACAGATCATGTGCTAAGATACTCCAAGTGCGTGTATACCGAGAAGATAGACCAAGAGTAGCTCGGACTGTGTATGCCATCATAGATGATCAAAGTAACCAGACCCTGGCAACGTCTACTCTCTTTGACTTCTTCCAGGAAAAAGGTCCGGAACACAATTATATCTTAGTGTCCTGTGCTGGGAGAAAACCTACCTTTGGCAGACAGGGAATTGGCTATGTTGTGCAGTCTTTAGACCAGACGTGCTCGTTGAAACTGCCTACCTTTCTAGAATGTGACGACATTCCCAACAACAGGGACGAAATCCCTTCTCCCCAGGTGGCACGACAGTTTGCCCACTTACGAGACATATCCAAGCTCATTCCACGAGTGGACGATAAAGTAGAAATAGAAATGTTAATTGAGAGAGACCTCCTTGAAGTACATCACGTTAAGGAGCAGAAAGTAGCTGACCCGAGTCTGCCGTTTGCACAGAAACTTCGATTGGGATGGGTGGTCCTTGGGAAAGTGTGCTTAGGAGACACACATGTTTCGGAAGTAGTCAACACAAACAAGTCTTTCATTCTTCCAAGTGGACGACCCACCTTCTTTGAACCATGTGGGAACAAGCTTTCGGTGATCGACGATGTGTTCCAGAAAACTGAAAACGACGAAAAACCTGGACCATCTGTAGAAGACCAGAAATTTGTGGACATTATGAACTCTTCTTTCAAAAGAGGCAAAGATGGATGCTGGATAGCACCACTACCTTTCAAAGAGGATAGACCAACTCTACCCAATAATAAACCACAAGCTCAGAAACGAGCTCTGATGCTAGACAGCAGCTTCAGACGCAATCCTACAAAGCTCCTTCACGCTCAAGATTTCATGCAGAAAATCTTTGACCAGGGACACGCTGAGATAGCACCTAAGATTGCAGTAGATTCTGAATGCTGGTACTTACCATTGTTCGGGGTTTATCACCCCAGAAAACCTGAGTCTATACGTATGGTCTTCGACTCCTCTGCCGAATACGAAGGACTATCTTTGAATGAAGTATTGATCAAAGGGCCAGATATGACCAACAACCTCTTGGGCGTTCTACTTCGCTTTCGGCGGGACAAGATTGCTATCACTGGAGACATAGAGCAAATGTTCTACAATTTCAAGGTTACAGAGAAAGACCGTGACTTCTTGAGATTTCTTTGGCATCCCCGAGGTGACCTAAATGCACCATTACAAGAATACAGAATGACTGCACGTTTTTGGGAACACGCCGTCTCCTGCAATCGCCACATATGGGTTACGCAAAGCAGTACAGTATGCAGATAAGGATGTGCAAGAGTTTGTTACCAAGAACTTTTATGTGGACGATGGGTTAACTAGTTGCACAAGTGAGACAGAAGCAGTCAGCCTAATGAGAAGAACACAGAAGGCACTAATGGAAGGAGGACATCTTCGATTGCACAAATTTGCGTCCAACTCAAAGTCTGTTCTCCAGCAGTTTGACAGTGAAGACCTAGCCAAAGATCTCAAACACCTTGATTTTGGATGTGACACGCTTCCAGTTCAGCGAAGCTTAGGAGTCTCCTGGGATATAGAAACAGACTCTATAATTTTTCAAGTCTCGGGAAACCTGAAACCCTTTACTCGCAGAGGGGTTCTATCGACAATCAACAGTCTTTTTGACCCTATAGGTTTCACAGCTCCCGTCACCTTGCAAGGGAAACTGTTACTGAGGGAGATTATGTCAACAGTGAAACAGGTGGGCTGGGATGAGCCACTTCAACACAATTTCCTTATCCGATGGGAAAATTGGGTTAACTCACTACAGCCTTTAGGGGATGTTAAGATTCCACGCATGTATGGCAGATCCTCCCTGACCTCAGCAGATAACTTCAGTGTCCATATTTTCTGTGACGCCTCCAAAGAAGCCATCGCAGCAGTAGCTTACCTCAAATTGGTCTCAGGGAATACGACCGATGTTGGTTTTTTGGTTGGAAAAGCGAAAGTGGCGCCGACGCACGGACATACTATTCCCCGGTTGGAGTTATGTGCTGGAGTTCTTGCTGTTGAGCTGGCAGAAACTGTAGCAGAAGAATTGGTCATAGATAAAAGTGCAATTCGCTTTTATTCTGACAGTAAAGTAGTTCTAGGGTATATCTCAGCCGAGACGAGACGATTCCATGTTTATGTCTGCAATCGTGTCAGTCGTATTAGGTCAGTCTGCAGTCCGAAACAATGGGCCTATATCGCCACTGAATCCAATCCAGCTGACATTGCTACAAGAAGTTTCAAAACTGAAGAGCTCCCTCAGAGTGAATGGCTCAGAGGACCTGAATTTCTGTTTGACAAATTTGTTAGTGTGGAAGAGAGCTTCCCCCTACTTAATGCTGAGGATGACATTGAAATTAAGAAAGAAGTTGTGAGCATGAAAACTAAAACAGAGACTATTACAAATTCTACGCAAAAGATTTCAACCTGGAGTGAAAGATGCGCTAGATTCTCATCTTGGTATAGTCTGAGTAGAGCAATTGCCAATTTGAAGAAGCTTGCTATGAACTTTATGCGAGATAAACAGAAATCTCACTTACCTGTTGAGCTGTTTGTCATAAGGCAGATCCAACATGAAGTGTATGCAGAAGAAGTACAAGCAATTACAAAGGGGAGTAAACCACCTAGCCACAGCACTCTTCTACCACTGAACCCAGTTTTGGATCCTGACGGAATCCTTAGAGTTGGGGGTCGATTGAAACACAGTCCAACTGGCAGGTTCACAACTAAGGACCAGTGCCCCATCATAATTCCGAAGGGCCATCACATTGCGGTGCTTCTTATACGTCACTTTCACACGAGCATACACCACCAAGGACGTCATCTCACTGAGTCGGCTATCCGTGCAGCTGGCTTTTGGATTATTGGTGGGAAACGTCAAATCATTTCTATCATCAGGAGTTGTGTCATCTGCAAGAAACTTCGAGGCAGCTTCGGCTGGACAAAAATGGCAGATCTTCCTAGAGACCGACTAGAGACTGGCCCCCCATTCACCTTTGTGGGGATTGGTGTATTTGGACCGTGGCCTATTGTATTCAGAAAAACAAGAGGCATGCAGAGAATCCAAAACCGCTGGGCCATATTGTTCACGTGCATGGTGTCTCGAGCTGTCCATGTGGAGCTTATTGAAGAATTGAGCAGTGCGTCCTTCATCAATGCCCTGCGCAGGTTCACAGCTATTTGGGGACCAGTACAGCAATTCAGGTCAGACAGGGGAACCAATTTTGTGGGAGGAACCAAGGAACTGAACTTAGACGTCCACTTTATTGAGAAGGGTCCAGTAGCTAACTATTTGCAAAGCAATAAGATTTCCTGGATCTTCAACCCTCCCCACGCATCACATTTTGGTGGTGTGTGGGAAAGAATGATTGGTTGCTGTAGGAGAATTTTGGACGCCTTATTATTGGAGAACAAACATGATTTGACACACGAAGTACTCTCAACTTTCATGCTTGAAGTATGTGCCATTCTAAATGCTCGACCACTTGTACCCGTTTCGTCTGATCCGGAAAAACCTGAAGTACTAGCACCTTGTCAGCTGCTTACACAAAAGAATCCTCTACATGACTTTGCACTGCCAAACTGTAACTTGAAGGATGCTATCAAGAGCCAGTGGAAGAGGGTGCAGTACATGGCGGACATCTTCTGGACACGATGGCATTCGGAATATTTACACCTACTCCAAACGCGACCAAAGTGGGGATCGACCGGAATCCATTTCAACAAGGGTGACATAGTTCTTCTTAAAGACAATGAAGCACACAGAAATCATTGGCCAATGGCAGTGGTTGAAGATGCGTACGAGAGCGAGGACGGTTTGGTCCGTAAAGTCAAAGTCAGAGTTGCTCAAGGAGACAAGCGTACAACCTATGTCCGTCCAATCACTCAACTCGTAAAGTTGTTGGAGGTTGAATGAATATGTACATGTGACATGTGATGTGAAATTGGCTTTGTGTACTTATTTGCTTACCAAATGTCTATTGTGGTATTCATACGTGTGCAAATTTACCATTCATGATGTTACTTAGATTTTTGACAAATGTGTTGTGTCAAATTTTGCCTACTTATTGTTTTGTGCAAATTTTTCATTATTATGATTTAATCTATAGATATGGTGATTTCTGGTAGAAATCAAAAGGGGAGTGTCATGTTATGCTCGTCTATGCTGTGTTCGATATTTCCAATTTTATCCGTACGCTACTGTTACCATATGTAAACTTATCCGGATATTAAGTTTTGAGAAAATTTAGGTAATTATGGCTTCGCGCCGCATGTTTCTGTAGATCTATTTACACGGCTTGGATGTCCACAAACTGTAAGTTTTTTATTGTTGCATTGTATAATCAGTTCAGGTATTGTAAACTCTAAAATGTGCTTTGAGTATTTCATTTCTTGACATTTATTTAAAGGTAATAAGAGTTGTTTATTTGCTGCAAGAGGTCAGCTTATTCTAAAACATGGATTGGTACACATGATATACTTTCCAAGATGTTACGATAATTACAATAGCACCTACTATTTTGTCTCTAATATTTTATGGAAATTACTTCTTCTATTTGTGCTTCCTAGTGTATGTGAATTTACATTTTTCACCTTTGTACTTAAGTCCTGTCCAAAATTTTCATTTTTTGGCATAACCTAAAACGTGGATTATGCTTTTTGTGTCAATTGTATATTTTTATTGAACCTTATAAGACTGTGCTTGTTCTTTACACATTGTATTTTACTTTGTAGTTTCTTACCCTCTCCGAGGAGGCAATAAAACATCATAAAATAAAGACAGCTTAGGCTTGTTACTGCACAATTGAGATTTAGGTATACCCAAAAATTTGAAATTTTTTATTCCTTTTTACCGAGCTTTTTTTCTTACAGGGGGTTAGGCGGCGGTTAAATACCAACCCTTGAAAGTTAGGTTTATTTCCTAGCCCCCCTAGTTAAGCCTCTAACCCCCTGCAAATACAAGCCCAAATGGATTAAGTTACTTTTTACACTTTTCAATTTTCACCACCTAGGGTTACGTATTTAAACCTAGTGTTAGATATCAGCAACCATATTAATTTGTTATTTTGGGCCAGAACTACTTATTAATAACCTCAAATATATCCTAATATACGTTAATAATAATATAGGCTAGGTCAAAGATTAAGTTACAAAAAGTGTAAACAGGCACATAATTAGGGTTCAGGTAGTGGCTTTATTATGGAATTACGGAATCTATCAAGACCGATTCCTTCCCGATGGATTAGTGGTTACATCGAGATAACTGTAACAGCAATCGCCGGATGGTATTATATTGTCGATTTAAAATTTAATATTAAATGCCCCGCCACAGCATGATACGCCCGTCAAATGTTCAATTATCATAAGTTTAGAGTGCAAGAAAATCATGTCAACCTTGATACAAAAATTTCAATGATTTTTCCATTCCTTATAATGTTTAATACCTATACATCTAATGTGGTGTAGACATTAATTATAATAAATATTAGTTACATCATAGATTTCTCAACTGGTTGTGTAAGAGCATAACAAATGCACATCTGTAGCTTTGTTTATTGTATATTTATGATAACTTAATCTATACCATATTAATTTTGAAAATTAAAGGCTGACCATCAAGTGCCATATGCTATAAGAAAGAGACCAGCAGTTCTTCTGCCCAATTCCCAAACGATACAGATAAGAGCTGCTTGATCAGAGAAGCTCTAACAGAAATGATTGAGACAGCTAGCCTTCCTACAATGAACTCATTAATTAATCCTTAACTGGATGCATGTCACCTCACTACTCTCAAGGGATCTGCTTTGTAGTCTGTTGTTCAATAAAAATGCATATTTGTCATTTTGTTGAAAACATTTTTTTTTAATTTGTTACAAAGATTTATAACATGAAAAAAAATGTGTAATCTTGATGCAACATTTTAACAAGAGGCCCAAGGGCCTTAACGGTCACCTGAGTATAATACAACAATTTAGAAGTTAAATACACTGATAGTTGAAGCTTTGTTGCCCTAAAGCAAGAGAAGTAGGAAGATCAGGATCAACAAAATAATTAGTCTAGTATTCAGTATCAACTCATAAATTAAGTTCTAATCTGTCCCCCACTTAATACTATGCAGACTATTAACAAACTATTAGTGCTTCTGTACTATTTATAATCCATACTAAGACCTCTAGCATTGACCTCTCTTATGGTCTTTGAAGAACTTTTAATAAGATAAGTTATTTTTGTCTCATTTTTATTTATCTATAACTTACAGGTCTACCTGTTTATTAAAACTAAGAAAGTACTTTTTTAATTATACGATAAACATTCTTGCATAATTATCTTATTCTATTAACCTTTCAAATACATTATTTACAGTGATTAATTATCAAAGGTGAATGGAAAAGGGGAATAACTTCTCTCAGTAGAATACAAATTAATAGAGCCCTGCCCAGGACCAGAATGCTTAGACCAATGGTTCAGATGTTTAAAAATCTGGTAGAAATACGCTTTCTCATATCATTTAAACTTTTACTCAGTTTGCTTCCAATATGTCCAGAAGCAGAGAAGAATTTCACAGGTACAATGCATTTTCACTACAGATTCAACAAAGCCTTACCCTAACACCAGAACCCAAGACCAAGGGTCAAGAAATTTACAAATTTGGAAGAGTTACCCTCATCATCATAACTATGGACTTCAAAGAATTAACACTTTTCCACTATATTATCAAAAGCCGCCCCCGCCCCCCCTTCGTTATGCCAGAACCCCTGACCCTAGGACCACAAGATTTAAAAATTCTGTTCGAAGCTCCCATTTTCATCATAGCTAAGCAATTTATTTATCAGCTCAACACAAAGGAGCAGACAGGATTAATTAATGATTAATAGAATTAATGCTTTTTCACTATATAATCAATAGAGCCCCCCCCCCCCCCCCAAGAACCCCAAAAACTGAGGCCATATATTTAAAAATTTTGGAAGAGGCATCCTTGCCTATCATAATCATGCACTTAGTTTGTTTATATAATCTCCAGTAGCAGAGAAGAAGATTTTCAAAGAATCAATGCATTTTCACTATATAATCAATAGAGCCCCGCCCTAACACCAGAACCCCTGACCCAGGGGCCAAGAAATTCACAATTTTTGAAAAGGCATCCTTATGCATCATAACCATGTACTTAGTTTGTTTAAATAATACCCAGGAGCAGAGAAGAAGATTTTCAAAGAATTAAAGCATTTTCACTATATAATCAATAGAGCCCCGCCCTAACACCAGAACCCCTGTCCCAGGGGCCATGGCTTTCAAAATTCTGGAAGAGGCCCACCTCCTCATCATAACTATGTACTTAGTTTATCACCTTAATGCGCAGGAGCAGAGGAGAAGATTTTCAAAGAATTAATGCATTTTCACCATATAGTCGATAGAGCCCCGCCCTAACACCAGAACCCCTGACCCTGGGGCCATGAAATTCACAATTATGGAAGAGGGACTCTTGCTCATCATAACTATGTACTTAGTTACTTTATTTAATATCCAGTAGCAGAGAAGAAGATTTTCAAAGAATTAATGCATTTTCACTATATAATCTATAGATCCCTGCCCTAACACCAGAACCCCTGACCCTGGGGCCATGAAATTCACAATTTTTGAAAAAGGCACTTTTGCTCATCATAACTATGTACTTAGTTACTTTATTTAATACCCAGGAGCAAAGAAGAAGATTTTCAAAGAATTAATGCTTTTTCACTATATAATCTATAGAGCCCCACCCTAACACCAGAACCCCTGACCCTGGGGCCATGAATTTCACAATTTTGGAAGAGGCACTCTTGTTCATCATAACTATGTACTTAGTTCCTTTATTTAATACCCAGGAGCAGAGAAGAAGATTTTCAAAGAAATAATGCATTTTCACTATATATAATCAATAGAGCCCCACCCTAACACCAGAACCCCTGACCCTGGGACCATGAATTTCACAATTTTGGAAGAGGCACTCTTGCTCATCATAACTATGTACTTAGTAACTTTATTTAATACCCAGGAGCAGAGAAGAAGATTTTCAAAGAAATAATGCACTTTCACTATATGATCTATATAGCCCCACCCTGGGGACAGAACCCCTGACCCTGGGGCCATGAATTTCACAATTTTGATAGAGGGCTCCATGCTTATTACAATGATGCCAACAGTTTGACTGCTTGATGTCCAGGAGTAAAGAAGAAGATTTTTAAAGATTGCATTATTTTTGGTGGTTTTAGCCCCACCCCTCAGGCCCCAGGGGGGCAGGGACCATGGAATTCACAATTTTTGTTCCCCTTCACCCATAGATGCTATATGCCAAAATTGGTTGAAATTGGTTCAGTGGTTCCAGAGAAGAAGCTAAAAATGTTCAAAAGTTTACGACCGATTGACGACGAACGATACGACGAACGACGACAGACAAAAACAGATAGCAATAGGTCACCTGAGTGACTCAGGTGACCTAATAAATTTAAGGTTACTGCATGACCCTTAGATTTTGTAGGGACTACCTACCATAAAACATTTGTTTTATACTTTGTGATGTTTTTTTTTTCATATTTAATGACTGGTTTTAAGCTGCAATTCATACAGACAGACTTGGACATGCTAATTTCAATATACTAGTACCCCCCCCCCTTTTTTAATTTAAAATAAAAAAAAATGATATTATACAATATCAAATTAGTTTTAATTATACTGTATATTATCAAACTAGTTTTCATTACTTTACACCAAATTTATTTTGAAAGTTAGGCTAGCCAACAAGAACGATTTAATCCAGAGGCTGATTCCTTTGCCCAATTACCAAGAGATACAGATAACATCTGCTTGATCAGAGATGCTCTACCAGTTTTCTCCTCACACTAAACTCATTAATTTATCTTTAATTTGACATGCAATTTT